CCGGGACAGTTTGGTTTGTTTTTCTAAATTATTCTTTTCAACCACAATTCAAAGCAACGTCTTATTTCACTACATTATAATTTAGCACATTGTTGTATAGTTTTATTTTTTCCAGTTTCTCGTTATCTGAGGGACTGTTGTGAGTTTTCTCTTTTCGTTTTTCTTGGAGGACGCCTGCAGGTGGTTGGAAAAGTTTCTACGCACATTGTCCTGCAGTGAAAGGTCGGCGCTTTGCATCGAGGCTGATTTTTCTTCAAGCTAAAAACCAGCTTGAAACTATAAAGAAGGAACCGACCCAAAGCGTGAGGGTTCAGTCCTCACAGCATCAGTGTGGTTTATACTGGGAGACGCTGCAGGTAACAGGTGAGACTATGACACAGGAGCTGGCCGTGGCGGCGGACCAGCGAGTCAGACCAGGAGCAGCAGCGTTCAGCTAAGCCTCAGCCTTCAGCGGGGGGCTGACGGTGTTTCAGGGCTTCATCCTGCTGCTTTCACCAGAACATGGTGACCTACTAGGAAAACAGGATTACTGGAGGTGTTTGGGTCAAACTCCGTGTATGAGACGCAGCATCTAACCCGTTTACGGCGTAATGGGATTACAAAGTTCACTACTGAGTGAAACCCAGAGGAGGCCGGGACCATGGTGATGATGGTGATGGTGATGATGATGATGATGATGGTGATGATGATGATGATGAGAACAATGAACAACACCAGAGGTGACACAAATCCTTCTGATCTTAAGGAGTACCAGTGTGAGTCTTCTTACCCGTCTGTCTGACGCCACCAGTCGGAACTCCTGCAGAAGTTTCCCAAAGACGGATCTGTGCGTCTTCCTGAAGGGATGGATGGTTCCCTGCAGATGAAGAACACGAGAAGAACCATCACAAGGTGTCACGTTAAAGAACAGAACATATATTAAAACTCAGGCTGAGTTAACTCTGTGTAGCTGTCTGGGATTATGTTCAGACTTATTCAAGTCCAGTCGGGTTCACTGAGCCGCTGACAGCAAAGCAAAGCAGGAGGCAACGTTTGGCCTGTGCTGCCACCTAGTGGTGTGTCGTGGTATGACCTGCAGAACAAAGCTTTTCAAACATCCTCCTGGATTTCTGTGAGAATAAAACTTAATCCAAGATAAACGAACGCCTCACCGTTTGGATGTTAATAATCTGTCTCACTCTCTACACCCCGAAGAGTGAAAAACTGCAAAGACAAGTTCTTTACTGCGGAGAGAGCGAGATCTGCACAAATTAGTTTTGTTCCACAAGAAAACTGAACAGTTCTAAAATGTGAAAATCCCTTTCCAGGTCCTGGTTCTTCTGGTAGATTAATCGTAGCTACTGGACCTGCTTGAGTTTCTTGAAGATGTTCCACCTCTCATCTAAGAGGCTTCATCAGCTCTGACTGACTAGTTGGGAGTTCCACATGCTGATATCCTGAAGGAGACGTTAACACCTGAGTTTCAACCAGTCAGTCAACATGTTTCTATGTGGTGAATAAAGACAAACTAAAAGTCTGTAAAACTGGCCACAACAGGCCTCTGAGGGCTAAAAGTCGAGTTGACTTCAGTTTGTGTGACACCAACAGGACTGAGGTGTTCAGACACATCAGAGAAGCTCCATGGCTGCTGCTGTGTGTCGTGCTCATCCAGAGTCACTCACCAGGACGTAGGTGTCGTGTTCGTGCTTCTTCCTGTGCATCGGGACATCTGTGGACGACAATCACTGTCAGCATGGCACGACAACTATCACACATAAAAGTTTAAGCAGTTTGTTTTCTGTCCAACATCCTCATTCTGGGGCAGCGATCATCCCTGAAGTCTTTGCTGTAGATAAACAGAACTCCTCGGCTGTCTGCTTCATCTAGTTGTGTGAGTCTATCAGGAACAACAACATTCTGTTCACATGCATCGTAGAACCAGGTTCCAGGTGGTTTTATTTTACTCCAGTCACACTGATTGGCTGTGAGCTCAATACAAAGTCAACATGAAGTCGTGCAGCTCTACGGAAACAGCACCAGCATGACTGGAGGTGGACAGAACGCAGTCAAGTCCTGTGTCCAGTGTGACACAGCTTTATGGCTAAAATTAAAGAAAAGGAAAAACTGAGGCTGAATTTCTTTGATTATTCATTTTATAAATATTAATAAACCCTAAAAGTTGCAAGAATGATTACTCAGATTACAAACACCTCCAATCAGCAGGTTCAAAGCTGTTTTCAGACCAACACGCTCCACATTGAGAGGAATCTATAAAACATCATGAACTCTACATATACAGGAACCAGCACAACATCAGCCGGACTTATGCACTTATGCATAACAACAATAATAATAATAACAATTGTTTTTATTTGTGTAGCGCTTTTCAAAAACTCAAAGACGCTTCACAGGATAAACGAACAAAAGCAACTGATACAAACGTAGACGACGCAGAGATACAGGAAGCAGATAGAAACAACCCAAGATGTCAGTATGACGGTTTAGGGGAGAGAAGCAGGTGAGGTTCTAGTTTGGATTTGAATATTTCTGGGTCTGTGGTGTCACGGATGTGTTGTGGGAGAGAGTCCAGAGAAGGCCCGATCCCCCCAGGGTCGGTGCTTGGTCCTGGAAACAACCAGCGGAGCGGAGGGTACATGGAGGGGTGTAGGGCTGGAGCATGAGGTCAGAGCGGGCCTGGTTCTGGAGCGCTTTATGGGTGAGTAGGAGGATTTTGAATCTAATGCAGTATGGGATGGGAAGTCAGTGAAGGTTGTGAAGGACGGGGCGATGTGGTCTCGGGAACAGGTGGGGGTGAGGAGGCGGACGGCAGAGTTTTGGATGTGCTGTCGTCTATGGAGGAGGCTGGTGGTGGTACCGAAGAGGATGGTACGACAGCAGTCAGTGTGATGGAGGCGTGAAGGAGGGTTTCTGCTGCTTGGAGGGAGGGAGAGGAGCGGAGGAGGGCGACGTGGTCCAGATGATGGACGCTGTTTCAGTGACAGAACTAATGTGTTGGTGAAGGTGAGCATGGTGTCGAACATGAGGCGAGGTTTGGGCAGTGAGGCGACGGTGCCAGCTGTCTGCTAACAGCTGGATCCCTGTGCTGCACACTAAACTGATTCCTGTATCGTCATCGGTACGACAACATCTGGGGATCAATACAGGATTATCTTTTCTTAAATCATCTTCATCGACTCGTGTTATTCTGAATCCTGCTGTTGTCTCGGTTCGTGTATTTAGGACAGATCCCTTCGTTGGGTCTCGTGTTCCGTGTTTTTGTTTGTTTTCTCCGGTTCTGTAAAGCAGTTCGTGTCACACATGGTCGGTCTGAGATCGATCACTCTGATTGATCGGGTCTGAAAAGTTAAAGTGAACTCGTTTAAATGGATGAAAACACACAAACGCTAAACCAGAACCAGCTCCAGGACCCGACCTGCCCTCACCTCTGACTACAGATCAGTGGTTCTGGTTCGTTTAAAGTGCTCCAACTGTTGATTGATTAGCTGCTAGCCGGATTAGCCAAATACACACAACAAACAACATAAAAGCGACCCAGTAGGCACGCGGAGCACCGGAAGCTCCGAGCCGACTCACACCGGCCGGTACTTACGGTACACCGGCGAACAACCACCGGAACAAACCGGGAAACTGTACCGACGTCCAAACCCGAACCGACAGCCGGCTGTTAGCACAGACGGCCGTTGGAATACGTGTAGTTAGCCGTTAGCCTGCTAGCAAAACAAACCTGCATCCTTGATGTTGATGACGTCCACCGACACCATGTCCGGTTTGTCCAGCGGAACCACCTTCCGCTCCGTCACCCCGGACGGCACCACGTCCGGCTTCGGGCCGAACTTTCGGGGGTAAAAGTCCCCGACATTGTGGTAAGACAGAGCCGAAGACGTGGACATCATCCCGTCCATCGCCATTTTGGACTTCCTGGACCCAGAAGCCTCTTCGATTTGACTGCTCTGCGCATGCGTGAGTCCACAGATCTGTACATCATGTGGCAGTGAAGCTGCAGCTGGACGGACCGCTCACAGCTTCTACACATCTGTGGCTTCTTCAGCACCGAGCGGCCCGGTATGGAACACCACTGCTGCCGAGATCTACAGCCGTCCTCTGATCTGTTCATCCCCGTCCATCAAAGAGAAGACAAAACTCACAGCAG